GAATTATTCAGTGGGCAAGTTGACAGCATTCAAGTTGTCTTGATTCTTGTTGGATATCATCTCATGCCGTGTTGGTCTCTTACGTTTTCCATAAAAGCCATGAAAACACAGAGTTAGAATTTCAAAAGTAACCACTTTAAAATCGCTGTTGAATCCAAGCATTGTTTTACATTGTGTGTGTCCGTGTGGAGGAAATATGCTTCAATGAGTCTGGTATGCAGGCAGCTCCTGTGCTTCCCTTCCTGACAAACAGCTACTCTCTGATTAGCATCTCTGGAGAACTTAAAAAAGAAATGTTGTGGGGTGAGAGGGTTCATTGACTCGATATATTTTTATTCTCTTGAAATAAAATATCAACCAATTTCAGGAGAGCACCATATACAAGTAGGCTGAATGAGTCATTTCTTAACGTTGTTGTTTCCTGCATGGAGTTTTTCAGCATCTTAACAGGGTTCTTGTCATGAAAGTAAATGACCTGTGGAAACTATACGTTTCAATAGGTCATTTCTCATGGTAGTGGCTTTGCACTGCAGTGAGGGGAAATAGTTTGGGCAAGCTTCAATACCTAGAAATTGTGTAACCCAGCTGACAGAGAAACCTTGCATTTTGCCGTTTCATTCATCATTTCCTCTGAGTGGGGAAATCCGACACAAGAACGTACTTAGGCAAACATTCATGAAGGACGGGATTCCCTTTACTGTTGCCTGTCTGTTGTTGTTTTTTCAAGCTTTGTATGTATTTCAGGAAAAAAAGTTTTTTCATATGTTGCCAAATAAAGTTGAACTGTCATTTAAAGGGTTAAGAGATGAAAGCAGATGACATTTTAGTTGAAGTGCAAGAGATGGTAGCTGAAGTGTATCCACTGTAAATAGTTGTGAAATAGTGTCAGCCTGATCTTTGTCCTGTGTCAGTGGAAATAATGCTGAAACCTAGACTTTCAGGCCATTGTCGCTATGGACAACATGAAAATGCTGAGGCACAGTCACATTATGTTGTTTCACTTTTATCTGCTGGTCGCTCTGCTGTAGCTGAACGAGGGCTTCAGGAAATCCTGGTATCGATGATAAGCAGCTGGTGAACTTTGGCCTCACTCAGACTGAGATGAGGTTCAGTTAATTGTAGAATAGACTCCTTTTATCTGTGTGTGTGTGTGGGGGGGGTGAGTCTGTGTGATGTGCCCTATGTATGCTGGTTATCAGTAAACATTACTTTGAACAAATCTGAAAAATCAACCACATGATAGCCTTTGTAGGTCCTCTTGAAGTCCTCACCGCCCACAAAAGACGGGACACTGAGAGGTCAGAAACAAGCAGCAGCTCCACCCTGGTGATTTATTGTTTCAGGCAGGTTTTCTCGCCTCATTTTTTAAATCAGCTTTCCGTTCTCACTCCGGCCCTCTGTCCAGACTCCCATGTCTCTATTTTTTTAAAGCCTGACACAATATTGCACTTTTTGCCAACACAGTACAACTCAAAATGAGAGTGTTCAAGTCGAAATTTTTTTGAGCAGGTTGTAAGAACAGAGACATTGGTTGATTTCTGGACAGATTTCCATTCAATTTATAGTGAACATCAGTGGTCTTCCCATGATGATTCCGAATTATTGTGTGATTCCCCTGAACATGTACACAAGATATATGAAAAGCTAATGGACAGATTGGCATAAAAAAGTGCATACTTGCAAAATAAGTGGTGCAAGTATGCATAAGTGGCAAACTTCCAGCCAGGAACAGGCTAGCATTAGTTGGTCATAGTAGCTCTTCAAACACAATGGTTTGCGCAAACTGTTTGCAAAACTCTTTTGTGGAGCAGTTTATACTCTGACCTAGGAGGGTTAAAAAAAAAAAAGAACAGTCACATCTCCCCAAGGAGCAAATTCAGTGGTTGCAGCTCCACTCAAATGAACTGAGTTTGCTACGAAATGCGGCTGTATTAAATGCAAATGTGACCAGGCACCTTGTATGTCCGTAAAGTAGGTTGCCTTGACTTGGTCAAATTCGATGCAGGAGATTTCATGACTTTTAGAATTAAGAATTAAGACTTTTAGTTCACGCACAGAACTAAGAAAAAATCACGTCAATGTCATGGCTTTTCTGTGTCTTTTTTTTTTAGAACATCCTCAGTATGCTTCAAATGAAGTGTTTGTCAGATCACCAAACAGCGTCTAAAAACCACTTTTCCAACAGTGGAATCGGGGGGGCTGCATCTGACATTTTTTGAAACTTTCAGAAGCGACCACCTGAAGTAGGCGGGGACACTTTCTCACGCTTATGCCTTTAGGCAACCGTGTTTGTTTGAAATATACTAAGGCCTTAACCGTGACAAGTAGACTGACTTTGACGTGAAAAATGAGTGGAGTGCCCTTTGATGCAGTCATATTTAACGTCAGCCTGCCAGTCACTGCATGTGAAGGGAACTACACACAGTTGTGGACAAGGCTACACTGAGTAGACAAACAAGCATTCCTGCAGGTTTTTATCTCAGTCAAAGGGAGTGGAAGAAATCCTGGTAAATACGGAGTTCTTCATTCCTGGGCTTCAAACACACACACACACACACACACACACACACACTCTTTATCTCTCCCTCTGAGGTCAGTAGATGCTGTTGATAAAGTAGAAGTTCCATATAAACACATTAGACGTTTACTGTAAGAACTTCAGTTCGGATGTTTATTTTGACTGCTCTCTCTCTCTCTCTCTCACTCTCTCTCACACACACACACACACACACACACACACACACACCTATTACATGAGCCTTGAACCACCGCAGAAGGACTCAGGACATTATGTGTTTGTTATGTCTGAACTGAATGTGTGTCTCGGTGTGTCTGCGGGTGTGCATATGTGTGTGTGTGTGTGTGTGTGTGTGTGTGTGTGTGTGTGTTTATGTAGCAAAGTACACTATCTCACTTTGAGTGTGTTTATGTGCAAGAGAGAGTGAGAGAGATAGAAATCAACAAAGGCAGCCAGAGAGAGAGAGAGAGTTCAGAAAAAGCTGGAAAAGCATCAGAGGAAAAGAGAGAGCGATGAGAAGAGACAAAAAGACGCAGCAGTGAACCTGAGGACAGAAAGAAAAGAACAAGTTTGGGTCCAGTTGGCTGTCTGTTCCACATCTCTGCCATGGACATATTGCCGGCGCTGGCATCCACAGTGTTAGCTTCCACACTTAGCCTGCTGAGGGAGAGCGCTGCTGTTCAGAGCATCAACAGGAGGCTCAACAGGAGGTAGGCAACACCTGAGCAGGTCACACCTGGATCACGCAGTGTAAGAAGATAGCTTTCTGAAGAAGAAGAAGAAAAATGAGAGAATATTGAATTGATTGATTGAGAAAAAATAAGTTTATCCCACCTTTAAGAGGAGATAATGAATTCCAGATTAGATTTCCTTCCCTGCATGGATACAAACTAACTGCTTGTGGTACCAGACATTCGCTCCATCTTTCCATTAACTGGCCAATGTAGAAAAGGAACAGCTGGTATTATGGAAAATGTCATGCATCAACTTAATGTTCCTGATAAGCAGAGTGAGCATGCCAACCATACAGCAGCACACTTCAGGCGTCTCGTATCTTTTCAACAAAGTGCAGATTTCACCAATGTCAGTTCAGATTTTTGTTGTGTTTGTGTTTTTGAGAAAGAGACAGAGCGATAGAGAGAGAGAGAGTGCGTTGAGATTTTGCTTTGAGACCACATGCCCACCCTCCCTCCCCCCGACACTGGGTTGACACACATTTCCTGTAAATGTTGCCTTTTCTCTTCTCTGTCTCTGACACGAGCCTTGCTGAGGAATAACCGTGGCAACAACTGACAGCTGACGTGATTGGAGCACAATCACTTCCTATTGTCACTGGAAAATAAAATCTACGCGTCTCTGTGGTGAAATACACCCAAACAGACAAGTGATGCGTGGCTGATGCCCGGCAAAATAATAACCAAAAATTGACTAATTCTGGACCCTCAGCCAAAGTGGTGGTCTCACAGCTGTCAGCTGTCTGCCTGAAATGACTAAATATTTGCCTCTCGTAGGAAAAAAACTACCTGTGAACCACCCATAGTGTGATTTTCCCTCTCCAGTCTTTTAGTTACCCTGATACTTAAGTTCAATTATGAGGTGTACCTTACCTCATACTTGTACTCCACCACATTTCACATGGGGAAAGTTCATTACTTTCCAGTGGTTCACAACCCTTTTGGCTTATAAAAACAGTGACTGCTTGCAGCCCCTTGTCACATATCCACAGTCACATTTGATTATGTGTGCATGGTCATTGCAGCTGTGGATTGTAGCAGAAGTCACATTGTAAGAATTAGTATTTGGTGATCTGGAATTTATGAGAATTTCCAGTCAGTGGAGTCTGGTGGCTTTGACGAGAGTCTCTGTAGGGATCCTTGTAGGGACACTTCTAATAACAAGCTGAGCCTGTAAGTCGCAAAAACAAGCACTTTATTGGACGTACTTTGACGAGGCAGAATTTCCCAGAAGGATTATGCTGCAGCCCACTGCTGCTGACTGCAGCACGCTCGCTCAACACTGGACCAATTGAAAAGCAAAATGTTGTTTCAGTTAGTCACATAAACTCAAACACATAGGAACACAGGGTCCATGTTAAACAAAAACCTTACCCCTTAATGTCCAACAAAACACATTTCTTCACAGGGAGTCCAAATGAGAACATGTCTTAATAGTGCAGTGATTAAGGCATTACCCTGCAGATCCAAAGATGGATGGTTCAAATCCCGGTCGTGGCATGTTGACCGCTATACTGAACAGTAGAAATATTTCTTTCTACGTTTCATTTGGGGTAGTGATGGCGCAGTGACACTCTGGATAAAAGCGTCAGCTAAATGAATGAATGTAGTGTGAGAACAGTTTTTTTTTTGTTGTTTCTGCTTCTGCTTCAATGTGCGACTCCTGAGGTAGCGGTCTTCGCTGGTAGATCTGTTACGCAGTGATGCGTTAATAATAACATCCTCTCCTCTCCTTACCTCTCTGGTAGAACCATGTCATCTTCAGAGGTGTGCTGGCCGGTGCCGATGCGAGCCATTGGGGCTCAAAACCTCCTCACCATGCCGGGAGGAGTTTCCACAGCGGGATACCTCCACAAGAAGGGAGGCAGCCAGTTCAGCCTCATGAAATGTGAGTTCATAGTAAAAAGAATAAGTGTGGCTTAGGGACAGAGTAAGTGAAATGTCTCACAACACATTGTATCACCCAATTATATTCTCTTTGTTGATCCAGCAAGCTTTATACCTCAGTGACGCATAAAAGCCTTTTCAGTTGTTTAAATTTCAAGAGTTCGTGCTCAGTTGTATGTATGTCCATGTTAAGTTTCCGTACACATGTGGCATGGATGGAAACATTGTTAATATCTGCTGCCTGTCTTACAGGGCCTCTGAGGTACACCATCATCCACAAGGGCTGTGTGTACTACTTTAAGAGCAGTACCTCTCCTGCACCACAGGGGGCGTTCTCTCTCAACGGCTACAACAGGTCAGTGCAAACTCTTCAGCTGCTGAGAGTCCTCAATCAGCAACTTTTTTTTAGCAGACTTCAAGACTCACAGTTTGCTAACCACCTGTATAAGCGGTTACTACTGGGAACCTGGATAAGAATGTCCACTGTATCAATACTCACATTGTTTTGTTTGTTTTATGTAAGGTGCGCTTTGTTTGTGACTATACAAATGTTAAATTGACTTGCCTTAGAGTACATTCACATGCTTGTCTCACTGACCAGAAGCTTTCAATGTACTGCATCTATAGAATACTATTATCTGACACACACACACACACACACTGATGCAGTGAGGTACATTTGCAATTTGGAGTGTCTTGCCCAAGGGCACTTGGACAGGATGAGCCGGGGCTTGAACATCAAACCTTGCGTTTAGTGGATGACGGTTCTGTCTATCTATGAGCCACAGCTGATCGAACACGAAATGTACATACTCAACTCCAATGGGGCAGTAATTATTTTCACATTGTGAATACACACAATGAAGCAGTTAGTTCATCATAGACTGTTTAAATAAAGTGGACGTAGCCAGCGTGACGTCACCCTTTTGTTTGCGGACTACCTACTATCAGCCTTTTCTCCATTTTTTTTTGTTCTCTTACATAGCTGAGTGGAATAGAGCATGACTGGTTGTTACGAGGTTGCACTATTCTCAGCATTCCCACGTCACCATGCTTGGCACTTTTTGAGTGTATGAATAGTGGTGGGCAACACCGGAAAGTTTGTCAAGGTTCAGCTCACAATAAATGGCATCTTGCTGCATGAAGAAGGAAAATAATGCATAACGTTGTACCTGGTCATAGCAAAAGATTATCATATCACTCATAAGAACCACTGACTCAATGATGACATTTCTGGCAGTAATTCTCAGGTAATTCAGCAGTAGAACCCTCTAAAACCAACATGTTTGTAATGTATATATAAATAGACTAACATATGAACAGCACATTTCCCTTTATGGATCAGAGAGTAACACATTTATTCTCTTTCACAGAGTTATGAGAGCAGCAGAAGAGACAACGTCCAGTAATGTGTTTCCTTTTAAGATCGTCCACATCAGTAAAAAACACAGGACGTGGTTTTTCTCTGCAGCTAGTGAGGACGAGAGGAGGGTGAGAACAACCACACATATACTCATTTATATATATATATATACCTTTTAAATATTAATATCACTTTTTAAGCGTAAAAGCCCCCAAACAATGGCAATGCATATTCATGCCCAAACACCTCCTATATATCATTTTTGATTTTACAGAAATGGATGCGATACCTGCGGAGGGAGATAGATCACTATAACGACAGAAAAGAGTGCCACATTCCAAGGTAACATCAGCACATCACATCATATTTTACAGCACAGTGTAGACACTGTCATATCAATTATGATGCAGAATATCTTTATTATGGGTATCTATATTTGTGTTGGTGTTATAAATAAGTGAAACATCAGACCTATATACAATTCAAAACCCAAACCACAGATTAACTGAAAAGAACCATGCAGTGCAACTTTACATCCTGTATGTCCAAAAGCTCTGTCATTTTCTACTGTCATGCACTTCTTTCTCACAGACCGCCAGCCTCTTTTAGCAGTGTGACCTCGGTCACCTTTAACGTTTGAGTGGAAACAAATTATTGCAGGTTGCAACAACGTCTCGCAAATTATTCCCAGCAGATTAATAGCACTTAAAGTTTCCCCCACCAGAAACTAATTCTGCAGGCTAATTTATAATTTATGAAGGCAATTAAAATGGACGCTTGCTTTTGATTACAAAGCTACCTGCCTGCCAGTTTTTCATTGAAAATACACTGTTAAAGGAACTGGGGACATTAGCAGCTCATTTAAAAGCTTCTCATTATAGTGAGTGTTTGTGCTGCACAGGGAGCCTTCTCTCGCAAGGAATGCATTTATTTGTATGATAGCAAAGTCAGATTTCTTTCCCTAATCTTATCTCAAATAATTGTATTAAAAGTTTTTGTAATGTGGCAAAAATACAAATGTGTTGTAGCAGTCTAACAAAAAACTATTTTATAGGATAGGATGCCAACAATTTTCTGTGTTGTAAAATCCTAACCTGCAGTAATGTTGTTGGAGGGAGAGAATCTCATTGGTTGAGTTAAACATAAACAGCTAAAGTAGCCCAAACGGGGAGGACATGTTAGCATTCGGCAAACTGGGATAGTAAATGGCGTAATGAATAACACTGTATTGTCCTCTTTTGTAAATTAATTCATGAGCAGTTATATGCAGCAATGTTGGAAGCTCAGCTGAGGAAAACTAGCTTATGGCAATAACAGCTAGTTTGTCAAGAGCTATCCACGTCCTGCAGAAAATGTCATGAACCATGAACCCATTAAGAACCACTTTTTTCTGAATAATGTATATTCATGATAACATTTTCTTTGTCGCTATAGCGACTCAGATTCAGATGCTGACAGTTTCTACGGCACGATTGAGAAGCCCATGGATATTAAACACCCCGTGGATAACGCAGAAGATGGTAAGAGCACCTTTGTGAACACGAACACACAACACACACGCTGCACTGTGTGCATTAGCAAACTGTCTCTTCTTTCTGTGTGTAGATTATGCTGAGGATGATGATGATGACGATGAGGAAGACTATCTGAAGCCAGACGGTGACAGTTCGCAGACATCCACAGGTGACCTCACACACCACACACCATTTGAGCTCACTTGTGTACAGTCCGTTACAGTGAAGGTAACAGAACAATACACTTCCACTGTTAAGTTACTGACATCAAAACTGATCGTAATGAGGTCAAAGGTCACATCCAAAGACCCAGACCCCACAGTGCTTTTGCCTCACTTGCACATATAAAAACACACACTCGATATTTTAATAGAGCTTGTGATTTTTGGCTTCAGTGGTTTTTTAAAACAAATCCGTGACTTTATTTGTTTCTATCAATGTTAGAAAATAAGGAAAATTTGTGAATGTGAAAACTTTGTGGTTTTAACAATAATGTATTTATTCTTTTTTTCTTTGTGAGACTCTGAAACACTACTTGATAATAATTATAGTGTAGTCTGTGCTGTCCACACCACCAGAAGATCTCGCACATATACTACATACACAATAAAACAGGAACCAAAACAGCTTTTGGTTCCTTGGAGAAGGAAAATGCAGGTGAAAAACAGTTAACACCAATCATATCCTTTTAAAGAAGCTGAACTTATTGAGCCTTGTTTGTACTAATTTGCATGAAATGTGTAGTTTTACATGTAGGGCAAACATGAAGTGCAGTGAACATGTAGGCAAACTAACAAAAGAAACTTTAACCAAAACAAGAAGTCTGATTTATTTATTTTTTTTTGACCTCCTCAGCTCGACCCACGGGGCCGCCCCCCACCTATCCTCCTCCTCCAGTGCCGGCAACATTCCAGGTCCGTCAAGACTCCAGTTCAGGTTCTTCCAAAGGAGCACCTCCTCCCATTCCGTCGCTACCAAGAAATCCAACCAGCCTGCTCCCCAAAAAGCCCCTGCCCTGTGTACCCCCTTCCTCCATACTAAAAGACCCCAACAAAGGCCAGCCTCCTCCTGTCCCATTTGCCCCGCACCTGCTGCAGAAGTCCTTCTCCTCTATCCCCCCGACTCCTCCGCCCCCAAACACAAAGAAAACTCTTCAGAGCAGGGCGACATCCGTAGGGGGGATCGGGAACGACAAGAGAGACTGGAGGCCTTTGCCAGCCACATCGGTCCAATCTCCCGCCACTCTGCCTATCTGCAACCAATTAGAGACCAGAATGGTCCTAAATGGTCCCATACACTCCTCCCTTAATGCTGGAGGGAGCCAGTCGCTGGGCAACAACCACCACGGGTTGATAAGCAACCACCGCAGCAAGCCGAGCATACCGACCCCTCATTCTGCGAATCTTCTAGGGTCCCTCAACCAGACGTCCTCCATTCACCCACCACTGCCTGGCCACCCTCCAGTATCTCCTCTTTTGAAAACTGGACTACACAATAAGCCAGGAATATACAAACCTCCTCTACCTACAGCCAAACCCACACTGCCTGGAGCCAAGTCCAAGCCAGGAACCCCACTTCAGTAAGTTTGATTCCAACACACAAAACATTAAACACAGAGTACTTTTTTGGAAATGTCCTCTGAAAAAAACTAAAAAAAGTTAATCTGGTTGAAGTGGCCTCAATGAGTCGTGTTTCCTCCCAGAAGGGCATCTCCAGAGGGCCAAAGCTTCCGTTCACTGGGAGACGAGGCACCCACAGAGTTCAGGAAGCAGCGAGACTTTACCAAACACAGCAAAGGAGACGACTCTGATGAGGACTATGAGAATGTAAGAGAGTCTGAAGTGATGTGACAAGTGATATTAACCTTCACCACAGGCTTCTTTTGAATGACTATGTGTATATGTTGCTTTAAGCTTCCTGCAGACTATAAAGCTGATGATACACGGAGCAACTTTTAGAGCAGTGGTGCTGGGCAATGTTGCCATTAATGGTAATGAGTAAAGATTACTACCATAATCCACTCCGTCACCCTCCTCGCACCACCACTATCTGTTCAAAACATAGTCGGACTTGCCACCAGCAACATTGCCCAGCAACATTGCTCAAAAAGTTGCCCTGTGTATCATCAGCTTAAGACTCTGAACATCTCAGAGTTGTTGCGCTGATCACACAAACATTACTGTTGTCATGTCGTGTAAGGATGTACAAACTACACAAATTATTTCTGAATGCATTTCTCAACCTCAAAGTCTCAAAGTGACCCTTACTTGAGTCAATATCAGTGCTGCAACGAACATGTTGCGGGCATGATTAACCAAGTGTTTCTATCTACAGATCCAGCTGCCAGACTCTGTGTTCATCGACACAACTGAAACCAGCTTCGTAGAAAAGTATGACACATACACTTGTTTGCAATTTAAGTTTTTGTTTGTTTTGGTAAACTAAAATATTCCTTCAGTAGTAATTCTGCCCTCTAGTGGCAACAAAGAAAACCACTTTCTGCTTTATTTCATTCAATTCTTTTACTGACACTGTCTTTGTTATTTCCTTTATTTATGAAGTACTTTCTCAGTGCTGTGCTTTATTCACATCAGTTTAAATCAAAGTATCTGCTGCATCTGTTCTTGTTCATTCTATCTTATTTGCATGAGTAGTTAAAAACTATCGAGTCATAGTGGGCCATAAAAAAATTATAAATCTGTACAAGGATAAAAAATATATATACTTGTGGAAATATAAAAAGGAATAAATAATAATAATAAATGAGTAAATAAATACATTTGAAAATGTAAAGAGAAATAAATAAAAAATAAACACATGTGGAAATATAAAGAAATAACAAATAACAATTTTCATATGTATTAGTTCATTTAATTCTGTATATATATACTGTATATATACAGAATGTAATTTTTATTCCTTAATTTTTCCTTAATCTTCTTTTTCCTATTGTTTTTACTTTACCTATTGCTAGTCTTTTAGGCCCCCATGGCATCACATACCTTGCAATGGCTGCTGACCCCTTAAAGGTGCAGTGCTGTTACAGTGCCAATACAGAAAACAATAAGGAAAGGGGATTATAAAAATTTATATTAGATAAAAAATTATTGAATACATAAAATATATAAAATAAATATAAACAGAAATAAACAGTTAATGAAAATGTTTAAAGTAAAAATTTTCTTTTATATTGTGATATTTGTCTTTAAATTTCCACATCAATTTATTTTTTATTATTATTTTATTTCTCTTTATGTATCCACATTTATTTTCCTATCTTGTTTTATTTCTTATTTTTTTCTTTTTTTATGGCACTCATATGACCCCATACACAACAGTTCCTTCCAGTAAAGTCGTTTGAAATGAGGATACCATATTTAGCTCATCTGTGGTAACTGGAACGATGTTTGTACCTGCAGGTTATTCAGAGAGGGCTCAATCCCTCCACAGGACGGACTGTATGGCATCAGAAACTCAGGAACCAAAACATCAAAGGTAAAAAAAAAACTTTTGTGAGAATGATACTATAACATTTCCTATCCTCCACTGCAGAAACTAGTGTCTCTACATAGTTGTAACTCACTTTTGATTTCATCAATAAGTATGAAGCATCAGCGACTCATAAAAACTGATTAACTAAAATTATATTCAGTGTATGTCCATGTCATGATCATTTTTAGCCATGTGTCTCTGTTAATGTTTATGTCTGTCAGCTCACCACTTTCAAAATTAAAAAATCTCTGGCTTTTCATCTAGCACCACCATCAGGTCGAAATTACATTTAATCCCAGTACTTTGGTTCCCATCAGCTTCAACTGTGCTTTGTATTTAGCAAATACATTTAGTGCATGCATGCAATTTTTCCAAGCTAAACTACGATGGTGAACATAACTTGCTCAACATCAGCATGTAATCAATGTCGTTATTAGCATGTTAGCATGGCTGCAGACTTAGTGTTGTTAAATAACATTTGGTAAATGAATTACAGACTTATTCCTCTCAGAGTTCAAGAGATGACCGATTGTGTTCTTCAGAAAATGGACAGAAAATGATTACTTCTCTACCCTATGAAACAAATACTGAGCTTATTTAGGTCCTTATAGAAACAGAAAGCTTAAACACACTTCCCCAAACAGTCTATAACAGCAATATTCTGAAAACTTAAATCCTTGTTTCATGTTTTAGTCACTGTTACATTAGTGAACTGTCTACCAGCTCTTTGTCTTCCACATTAGAATTTTTTAATGACGTAGCTTTCTGAAAATGAACCTCAAATATATTTAGACTGAATTACCAAACTAAAATTACTATTATGATTATGATAATGATTATTGTTATTATTATTACTAATACTGTTATTTTATTAGTCAAATAAACCTACCTGTATGTATTGAACAGTGTTATATTAATGTTATTAATATTATTTTAAATTATCTTGTGTTCATTAAATCACTCCTATACTTTGCATATAGTTCAGATAAAATGTACACAGGTAGGCAGACACAGGTAACTTTTGTTCTGATACCTACCTCATACTGATGTGAAGGTCTGATCCTGACACGTGCGTCCTAATGAAATTATTGTGGTGTGTTGTCCAGGTGCTGGTGGTGTGGGATGTCGCTATAGGCAAAGCCAGAAACTACCGGCTGTTTGCAGAGGTAAGAAAGCTGCTGCGCTCTATCATATTCTGACTATATATACACAATAATTATTACTTATGTGTAGAAATTAGGCATAATGACAATGTAAGATCACAATATCATGTAATGTGATATATGCTATATCACAACACAGTAATACAGTCTCCTGTTCACTGTGGGTGATTTCACAGGAGGACCACATCTTTCTGGACAGCGAAGTGACCTTCCCCACTCTGTCAGCTCTGATTGAACACTACTACAACCATCCTCTTCCTCACCACGGCTCGCTCTGCCTGCAGAAGCCCTACACAAAGACACTGATCTTCTGATTGACACAGTCAACATACAAAAATACAACTGCTACCAATGGACACAAAAAGCAAAGGAGAACCGAGACTAAGGGCGTCTCTGCATCTGGAATCCATCAATCCATCACCTTTTCTCATCTGTTGCAGCAGCAGACTGCAGCATAAAGCTTCTTGGTAAACAACAAGGACAGTAACTTCTCTAAAATTCAGGCTGCTAGGACACCAGCTATTGTGTGTGTAACTTATGTCAGTCGTGATGAAGACAAACTAGACTCTTCCCGCAGCAGGCCATACCAATCCGCTTTTGTGCACTGAAAACATCAGTTACTGTAAATACACATCAATTTTTAGGGGGAGATATTAGTTACGACAAAGATAAAGCTTTCTAAAAATCTAGCAAACTCTTTTAATGGACAAGAGGTCAATTATTCAGACACCTGGTCTGTTTTTGAAACACCTCTGCTGCTTAAATGCAAACTGAAGAATCTGTGTTTGCAGATTCAGATGGATGTGATATGTTTTGTCCACAGAGGGGCGCTGTGACACCAAATTACAGCTTTAAATTCGGGTTCATGTGGGATCCTGATAACCTCTGTTTACCAGCGTTTCCTGTAGGTCAGTCCCAATGCCCACACTCGTCCACACATCTCCTGTAGAAGCCAACTGTGTTTACACATGCTTTACCACAGTTTATGGTTCATATTTAGGAAAGGATTTCTCAAAATCGCAAGTGATATATTGCATATTTCTTTTAGCAATGTCAGATATGTATGCGCTATTATTCTCCAAGTCTCATCAAAATGAATAGATTTTTGCTATTAACAGATAACCACCTCTAGAGGTTCGGCCACAACTGCGTTTAGTTTTAGTTTCAAATGACACAGATACACTGAACCTCAACGTCATGAATTGTCTTTATATTTTTCACAAACTTTCGGCCTCTTGTCCAGACCAGACCTTGAACCTCAAACTAATTTAGTGTCTCTAACTCATTTAGTGTGCTGAGACAAAAGACTGTGGGAGTCATTTCTGACTCCCAAGCACTCTCAGCACTTTAGCACACTCCCTTGAAATTTTCAGCATTGTTGAGCCCAAAGCCCATAACAAGAGGTTCAAAAAAGTTGCACTTTTTCTAGTGTAATAACATTTTAAAAGGAGTGTTCCACAGTGTTGTCCTTGGAAGGTGGAAAAATCATCTCACTTATTAACTCAGACCCCACGTGTTGCATCATATTTGGCTGAACATGAAGGAATATGAATTTTCTTTGTTCTCAACTGCCAAAATGTTGAGATCCTGTAAATACAGTTTGTACAGCACTGACTTTAATGTTGTAAATCACTCTATATTTATATGTAAATGCTGTATGTACTGTAAAAACTATGCCTGTAAAAATGTAAATATATTGTTTTCTACAGAATTATATGTTGACAATGTATAAAGGATTACTCAGACGCTGCTGTTGTTTTGTCTCCTCTTTTGATTCCTGTATCTAAACTTTGAGCTTGCAGCTTCCCGAGTAGCGTCACATGTCTCACGTCACATGTCAACAGTGAGTGCGACACTGCTAGTAGCTCACCCAGTGTCAGAGGATAGATACAGTAACAAGATGATTATTTTGATTAGCAACTTTTCTTTGATAAATAAGTTGGGCTCTGTAAACATCAGAAAATACTGATAAATTCACAGAGCCCAAGGTGGCGTTCAAAAATAGCCGATTTACAAATTCACAATCTTCATGTAACATGGAAGTAGAGAATTTTTACTTGATAAATGAGCGAAACAACTGCTTGTTTCAGCACACGGTGGTGTGGTGGTTAGCACTGTCGCCTCACAGCAAGAAGGTCGTGGGTTCAAACCCCAGTTGCCCTGGCCTTTCTGTGTGGAGTTAGCATGTTCTCTCCCAAAGACATGCAGGCTAGGTTGATTGGTTACCCTAAATTGTCCTTAGGTGTGAGTATGAGCGTGAGTGGCTGTTCATCTATGTGTGGCCCTGTCTAGGGTGTACCCCGCCTTGCACCCGATGTCAGCTGGGATTGGCTCCAGCCCCCCCGCAACCATGTATGGATAAGCGGTTGACGATGGATGGAGAGCGGGGTATGTTGTCACACTTTTCACACTGTCTAATATTTACTAAGCACCATCACAATGGTACAATTGTCATACCAAATGAAAGAAGGAATCCTTGGGCAGGTATTTTGTATCCATTACATCTTCATAACTTATCTCATTATGGAGTTAGACTTTTGAATAGAGTGTGCACTTAAAACAATTTGCCCCATTGGCTGGTAAGTGGATTATCAAACAATTAGAACACTTAACTGAATATCGATTGTAATTTCAAATTCAAACCAGAACTAAAAACCACCAAGCCAAGAGAATTTGGAAAAAAATAAATTCATTCAAAAAATAATTCTGGCGGAGCACACATTAAGTGGTGCTACTTCTTTACTTTGAACTCTAAAATCAAACGTTTTCTGGAGTGCATATAGATGGTAATTGAATAGAATGCTGCAGATAACTTGCTTGAATCTATAACTTCTTAAAACAGATGTGGTGTTTTGCACACTAATGTGCATTTTTGTATGAAGTACATCTGTTTCTGACATGTATTCAGAGTCACAGGTCTGGCACACAAATTGCCTGGCCTGAGGTGCAAGCACTGTGGGCCCATTTCACACATGTAAACCACATCTCCTTTAGAATACTGTTTGAAAATGGCTCCACACACGAGGCCAAAAGAGATGTCAGCTGGCATAGTAATCTAATCAGCAAGCTACTTTTCCAAATTACAATGCAGAGTCAGAATATGGTAATTTATGTCAAGATCCTTGGCTATACTTCTGATTGATTTGTTCTTCAACTTCACCTGCCTGCCTGCCTTTAACATGATGCCAGGTGGTGTGCTGCCTTTCCCTGTCTTCTGTTGATAATTGCTAATCCTACTACTTTCCTTCCTGTCATGGTAAATGGGTGGTGAAGCAGTTAGTAGGTTGGAGGACCCAAATGCAGGACACGAAAGCCAGCAGGAACAGTTCAGAGAAGGGTTTTAATACAACAAAAGGCGAGCACACTTACAAACAGAGTGGCTGATTGACTGAGTCCAAAAACACTCAGTGTGTTTGTGTCTACTAACACACTTCATGCCTACAGTTTGAGACCATATATACCCACAAGCACACACTACTTCATAAATTGAGTCTTGTGTAGTCCAGGGATATGGCTGCTGCTGTAAACTAGGGTGTATAATATTCTATTTACAGTATCATGTATTACTGGCGTCATAGGTAATTACACAATATCACAATGTTTTTTGAGCATGTTATGTGTATTTGTACTGGGGAAAGTTGTCACATGTGACGACATTCCCCGAAGTCATTGAGACAACTTGCCCCGAACTCACATGAGTGCTAATGTTGGCTAAATCTCTAGGTTAGCTCAACATAGCACTTCAGCTGAAGTATCAAAAGACATGTTATTGTCTACTCCACTTTGTGCAAAGTTATAATTTTGAACATTCATACCTAACAAAGTTGTATCGCATAAAATGTGAAGAGCGAAAGTTTTACTTTTGAAGCAACAAAAACAAGACAATTGTGCTCCCCTCACTTCTCAATCTCAAGCATTCCTCTCAAACAAAAGGAACAGCTTGTCACTCCATCCGGCGATGCCTCACGTCTTGCTGTACAACTAGATATACCAGTATACACCACAGGAGGTAGGTGCACATATTATATCACAACATGCTACACTGGACACACCAGCAGTCTGACTTCAGCTCTGAGACAGACTGGCATTGGGGCTCCCTGACCCATGGGCCCATGAAGAACGACTCTTCATCCTCACACTCAAGCTCTAGAGAAAACCCCTCAGTCCGAGCGTCTACTGGCAGCAGAGGCTCTGTCAGAGCTACCCCCAGGAGATGGCCGTCTGTACCAGGTTAAACCACCAAAAACTACGACAGGAAGCTTGACCAGAAATTGATTTGATGATCAGCAGACACTCTGAGTTGAGGTATCAAATTGGTATGGGGCAAGAAAAAGGTGCGTCCCTACAGCGGAAGCAGGTAGAAGTGTCAGGAAACAACAGGTAATAAATACCAGGTGTGCCAGCTGATTGCTCAGTGGCTCAGTAACACACATCATCACATGTCAACACCCACTGCTCTCATTGTCATGTAAACAATTTCAGTTCCTTTTGAGCTTTTAGACCACTGATCAGAGGTTTATACCTGCTAATGGCAGATGCTTCTTTAACAACTAGGATGCCAGTAAATTAGAGATCATAGTGAATACTTTGCGTTGTTTACCCAAGAAGAAGCAACCCAAGAAGTTGGAATTTCCCAAATGAGAATGATCAGCTTTTAGTGTCGCTGTCTGTGGTGCTGAACAGCATGAGCTCGCAGCATGTATCCAAACTGATCGCCACAGTGTAATAAAATGAATGACTGGATTAGCAAACTGATTGATATCTTCCCAGCTATCAATTTTGTAACATTTTTTTATGTTTCTTTTTATTTCCACTGTCACTTTGCTTCTTATTTCTGACAGTGTGGAACGTCAAACCAGCCACACCTTCCATCTGCTTTTACTCAACATGAAAGGAGGACACCTCAAGGGATGACAAGTTTGCGGTTGCTTTTTCAGTTATTCAAGTGAAATATATTACTTTTATAAATTTCAGTGTTGTGGATTCAATAATAATTTTCCGCAAGGTTTCGGCTCATTTTGGATACGATGAATCATTTAAGTGTGGTATTAAATCACAGCAGGACCTCCTCTCCCTTCTCTGCCACCTTCTCTAAGGGCTAAGTAGAGAAAATAAAAATCCTTAAGAGTGGACAGGCTGCTCTCATTCACAGAGAGATAAAGAAGCTCCCCCTTTGGCTACAAACCTCTTCAGAAACCTGGCCCAGATCTCGGCATGATTAAATATCTGCTTTCAGCCAGTGGTCCCCGCAGCTTCCTGGTGAGATGAGGATAAAGCTGTTTGGTCTGAGGATGCGTTGATATCTTCAGGCTGTGTGCAATTCTCTGCCTCATAAATGTCGTTTCTCTGCTGGATTTTAACATACAGAATCCTATTTTTCCAAGATGAGATAAAAATGAAAAACTTAAATGCTACCGGGGCCTGGTTTTATAAACCATTTGTAGCAGAGTTCCTTCAGTTTGTATTATTTTTTGCTTCTATATAACCAACTGTAAAACTGCTGTTTCACTGCACCGCTGGGCATTTAAATTTGTCCAAGTAATTACATGCAAGGCCTTATACCTAATACATGTTACACTGGTCCTTTGCATATGGCTATTGTATTTGAAAAGAAAGGAACCTAGGCTAGCTACAAAATACAGTCATACTTAGAAAACATTATAATCTATAACATTATGTACTGGGAATATCGCTGCTGTGGATCTTTATTGTGGTCGCAAATTTCTGGAAATGTAAGGAAGTCAATTGCTGGCGCATCTTACATGAAAAACCAACTTCCTCTTCTGTTCCCACATGATATTTATACTGGACAACCGCCACAACATTTACAGGTTAACATGCATGTGGGGGAAAGTGGCTTAAATGGAGCCATCTGAGTGACATCTATCTGCCATGTTTAATTAGAGAGTTTTGACAGCTTTTCAGAAGCAATCAGCTTGCAGCCACCTCACGCTGGTTAGTCACATGGTGGCAGCACAGGGTTCTTTATGTGAAAGCATTTTTTAACCAAGGTATCTGTGCTCTTCCATAGCCCATTTTTGCCTTGACATCACAGCCCAGGTGCCTCGTTTCAGCCCAAGTCCCTTTACGGTTAGCCATAAGCCAGTCTTTTGTTGGTCTTGGTGCAAAATAAATCTAAAACCGAATCTAAATCTGTGTTTCATAAAGATGTCCATTCAAACGACATTAGCACTGCTACTTTACACAGTTGTGAACTCCTGTCTCATTGTTTAATAAACCACTTCGTAGTGTTTTGGTGTCTTATAAACTTTCAAACTCATGGATTTATGACTCAAGCTGGTATGGCTGGATTGGATTTCACTGTCTCGTGGTTGCCTGTAGCAACACACACACACACACACACACACACACACACACACACACACACACACCAACTCAGTGATGTTAATTATGTTAAATCCAATTAATAAGACAGATTTAGAAGATAACAGATTTGTTGATCACTAAATTGTGATCAACAACCCCCCCAGCAAATATATTGTGACCATTTTCTGCCATGTTAAAATAAAAACTCTACTGATTCATGAAAGCTCTAATTCTTTTCTACCAGTTTTATGGCTAATTAGTAATTAAGTAAATACGAAGTAAAATACGAAGAGCTGATGGATTTTTGGAGAAAAAAATCTTCACTGGGGAGCCAGCAAATAACGATTTTCCACGGTTGTATTTCATAAAAGACTGGATTTCCAACCTTTAGCTCTGCAGTCGATGTGTGTGTGTGTGTG